CTGCTCTTTTCCAAGTAAAATATTGCAAAAATTTCAACTTTTTTTTATCACAAACTAGAAGCAATGTCACATTTAGTTTGTAAGGTCCAAAATTAAGATTAAATTCAGTGAAAATTACAGGAAATGTTAACAAATTTGCGAGAGAAAAAATTGGTGCTCAAAAGGTTAATGGGGAATAATTATCAGGTACTATTGCTGAATCCATATCCTGCTACGCAATGTGAACTGAATCAACTGGGTCATTCATATTTCAGATAACCAATTGAGAATGTTTAATTATTCGGCACATGTCTGATGGCTAGGCTAGGTGCCTGTCTTAGGCTTGTTAATTCTTTTACTCACCATCATTGCTAATGGTACAACTTCAATGATTTGTGAAGTATAGAGTATGTCATCTGTATCGGCTGAAAGATAAAAAACAAAATATCAATTCCAGTGATTTTACATCCTGTCATTCCTGCAGTTTCTGGGCATGGCATTTGTACAAATACCAATAGTCAAAATGAATGGAAAAAAACAGCAGGCATTAAAATTTTTAAGCCTGAGCTGAATGCCTTGATGCCCCTTAAAATAATCAAATAATTTCTGTTTTTAAATATTGTTGTGCCAGGCGACAGTTCCAAAACTGAATGTCACTGTTGCCTCTCCTGACATCTTTATTTATATGCACATTCTGCTATAGAAACCATGTACCATGTTTCAGACTGTGACAAGACTGACTGACCATATTCTTATCATAATGACATTATGGCGATATACTGGCTACCCTGAGAGGCTGGTTGAACACACACAGAAGTGTTCAACCCAGGTACAATTTGAACTTGGGTCCACCCATTTTATGAGAATACTTAAGTTCAAGCCCTGAACTATGAAACATACTGTATAAGCTTACGTAAATAACAGAGTTGTATCTATAGTCACAATAAGTCATATTTTAATAACTCACTATACAATACATGCAATTGCTGTTAAACCTGCACTGGACCTTCTTATTAGAGATGAGCTTCTAATAGAGCAAATACGCTATACACAAAATGAATAAATACTTACATGCAACAACGAGATTGGCCAATATATTACAGCCTGCAACCTGTATATCAGCGTTACCCATATGACTGCGCATGTTATGAATTACGGATAGTTTACCAGTATCTCCTATGATTGCATCTGAGAAAATAAACATTACATGAGTTAAAATATTAATTAGAATTAAAAATCATCAGAGCAGGGGCAGGGCAAGAGCAGGGGATTTAGCCAGTTTGGATGAAATCCATGATTAAAAAAAAATGTAGCCCAAGTAAACTAGCATAATAAACTAACTTTCCACTTTTAGTTTATAAGTAAATGACAAAAATGTATCTATGGTCAAAATAAGTTGGTTTGAGTGCACTTTATTAGAGCAATTATATGTGTTTATGTTAATTTGATACAAATGAAAAGATGCGCAAAAGACCTGGCTATGTACATAAGGTAGCTAAATGTACCTCACTGATGCACTATTGAAGGCTCACTGGTATCACCCAATACCAATTTCCTTCAACCGGCATGTCATTATTTTAGGTTATGAATACATATTTAACTGCAAATAGAATAATACTGCATCTCAAGGCTTTAAAACAAAACTGCACAAATGCGGAGTTTTACGAACTCGATGTTTAATCGGTTCTACATCAAAGATTATACAATTACAATGCTCAATATCTTGTATAAAGGGGGCATGTCTTTTTATGCATTATATCATACTAGTATAAAGACATTATAAAAGCATTTGGGTTAATTATCAACGAACAATTCAACTTTTATTTCCTCAAGCCATTGCCAGCAAAACAAGGTGCTTTTCATATTCAAGAAACCAAATTTGATGACCTGAAATTTCGAAAGACACGTAATCGCACTGAGCTGAAAGGGGATACTGAGAAATGCCAAAATGAATAGCATTAATCAATTTGTTTCTAATGAGTTGATAATTATAAACAAGTTTCAGAAGAATGTGCATGGTCTTCCATATTTTGGATAATTTCAAACTCTAGTCTTAGTTAGGCTTATATTGTAGACATTAAGATGTATGTAATATATGCTGAGTGGCAAAAGATAGTTTTAAAACAAATTGGTATGCCTGCTAAGTCTTAAAATAAAAGATTTTTTTTCTGGTCTTGACTAAAATGGTAGGATGATCACCTTTGGCTATTATGCAATAGAAATCAAGAAATTGATTTTGAACTGAAGCATACGCTTATCACAGGAGAGGGGAGGGGAGTGGAAACATTCTATGTGCACCTTGTATTTTTTCTGTCACTGATATTCATTAATTTCTCCCTTCAAGAAATTTAGTGAATATTGACAAGCAACATGCAAAATATGTGGTAATAGGACAGGTTAAGTGGTACAGGAAGACACGTTGCAGTTATCTATTACTATGGTGTATGTGAGCATTACTTATGCTACTTGTGGCATTATACCCATCACCATCATTGACTGCTATAATCACCTTTGAATTTAGGATTATTAATATTAATAGATGGATGGGTGGTTGATGAAATATTATTGAATTATCTTGTGTGAATTTTAAATGATATTAGTTGATGAATAAATTAACACTTGCATTTAACGCAATACCTGCTGAAGAACTTTTTTCCCATTCATTTTGGGTATCTGTGGAGGCAGCAGGCATTTTGTTAAATACTTAGATGCTTTATGATCCAATCTTTATTTTGTGTTTGGATTTGATCTGACCTGAACTGAATAAATAAAGTTGCCGAGATATGACATTTGATTTTCTTTTATAATAAATAAAAGTTTACATCATTTGTGATGTATACTCAATTGACTTAAGAATGTGACTTTGAGTGCCAAAGTCAACTTCAGATACCATCCACAAAATAGTTCCATTTATAGACTGCTTTTTTCCAAGTAAAATATTGCAAAAATTTCAACTTTTTTTTTATCACAAACTAGAAGCAATGTCACATTTAGTTTGTAAGGTCCAAAATAAAAATTAAATTCAGTGAAAATTATAGAAAATGTTATCAAATTTGTGGGGGAAAAATGGTGCTCAAAGGGTTAAAGGGGAATAAGTTGACCCTAAGGATTGCACTAAAAATCACAGAACACTATTGTACTTTAAAAAGCAAAAGTCATATACTCGCTTTATAATTTCATAGTTTGATAGCATTCCGGGGACAAAATTCCACAAAAGTCACTGTTTAAATCAAAGTAAAATGTTCACAGCTACAAAATTCTCACAGATGTTAAATTCCCAAGAAATCTCTCTTGCACCAAATTGTATTGGTTATAATTTTGACTTGTGCAAGTACAGATCCTAATGTGACTTTTAGATGTAGAAACAGACTGAGGCACAGGAATGACCCTTAGCTGAGTTTTTAACCAAATAATTTCATATTTTTTAATTTATGTACTTCTCAGCCAAAATAATCCCTGTGGTACCACATGGGATATGATCAGAAACATGGAAGTACAAGTTTTGAATATTTTCTAGCTATTAGCATAATTATAATCATGTGACCTGGTGTATGAAACTGTGATATTTAAACTGATGTTGGATTAAATGAAAAATTGACAAAAAATGCAGCATATGAATGATCTTATAAAGATGCAACATGAATAAGAAAATGTATTTTTTAATATTACTACTTGATAGTCCAGGTTGATAAATAGACATGTTCTTGTATGTTCACAAAGAAAACAAAGGTGTCTAGTAAACTTGTTTTTCAAAGTTGATAAGGGCATATTTTAATTTGAAAATTTGGCGTTGACTTTAAAAACTGATTTTTTTCTTATTCTTTATTTTGCAAAAATTCTATCAAAGACTTGAATATACCAGTAAAGCTGTGATGCACACATGTTCAACACAATACCTGGAGATAGGACAGGAGCATGAATATATTTTTTTTTTGGAGATTTGGTTTTTCATTATTTCATTGAACGATTACTAAGTTGTGCATTGCAAAACAACTTTTTAGTTTAATATATATAATGCCCATCAATCGATATTAATTAACCAGACATTCTCGCCAAAGTTTTTCTGCACTTTTTTTCTTATATTCTTCAATATTTTTAGTAATGAATCCTAATTATGGAGCCAAAAGAAAAAAATTTGAGTCAATTTTCAGTTTTTACTCAACAAATTTGGCTTTTTTCCCCCTCAATCTTCTGAAGGAAAATGCAGGCTATAAACAGCGTATTTTGTGAATTTATGCTGAAAAGAGAGAAATTACATTTTCTTATCCATATATTACATCTTTGATATTACCTTAACACATGATGTACCAGAGAAAGAAAATGAGGATGAAAGCAATGAATAATACACACTAAATATGACAAAACTTACATTGATCAACTGAACACAGCCAAAAATAAAACAATATGGAATGAAAACAATGATATTAGAAATCATAGAAAACAGCTTGTTATATATAACATCATGCAATGCTGATGTAATACCGTAAAATACTTTATTTTAGCTCGAATTAATTTCTACTGAATAAACTTTTTGATTGTTTTGTATGAAGTTTACTTCAGCTGATTTTTGATGAGTTGAATAAATTCCAACTAAAAATAAAGTACTTTACAGAACAGGCAATTATGTTACCAGCGTAAACATGCTATAACCCTTTCACTGTCACATGTTGGTCAACATTTGTTGGCATTTTCATTTCAGACAATAGATACTGTAATATTGCATGCACTTAAATGACAGGTGTGTTAATCATATGGTAACAATGAGTTGCATTTTAATGATCAAGCATACAATAAATCATAGACCCAACAATTTATTGTAGGGTTTATGAATAAATGCAAGTTTTTGTTTATAATAAAGATGCACTTCTAATATAACAAATACAGTAGTTTTATGTAGTTATCTACAGTTTAGATAGAGGAAAGCAGATTTGTTTAATAGAGCATTTTCTCGCACCATTCTTTCCGATCAGATTCAATGATTAAAATCCGGTGTCGGCTCCAAGGCTTTTTATTCCAGTAACCACCTGTAACTACATCTGATAAATGCATATTATGCAAAGCATGTTCAAACAGGTCAGCTTTGATAAGATTTGTCAATCATTAGAGTGCGCCTAATTATAGATTACCGTAAAACCTGTATTGGAAGCCGCATCCTTGATAGAAGTCACACTCATTCTTTTAGAACAATTGAGAACCAAAAATTCATCAATTCTCATATGTGTAGATGCTCTAATAGAAGCCGCATCCCATCTGTTGCATTGTACCAATAGTAGTCACGGCTTCTAATACAGATTTTACAGTAGTCTGCAACAAAAGATCTGATTGGTTGTACCTTAACATGATCTGTATAGATACATGTAATTGGTCAGATGTAGTTGAAGGCAAACAGATCCTCTATCTACATTGGCTTTCATCCAGATCACAAAGTCAATCTGATGTGGAAACACAGGCCAGACATTCTATGAACCTTTTGAACACCTTTATGTAATTTTTTTTTAAATTCGTTGTTAATTTTGGACAAAATGCATTTAATTTCCTATTGCCTGCTTGTCTTGTTTAAAATTGTTCAAAAATATAGAAACAATTGTTATATTTTTATCCACATTGCATTTTATTTATACTAGCCTTTGTTGTTTAAAAAGGACACTTTATGATAGAAATTTCAGCACTGTCTACTTTACATGTTCAAAGATACCTGAGCATTTTCCCCACAATATGAGCTGCATGCTGGCTGATATTTTTAATAAACAAGTACAAGCAGGTTCAATACTATATTACAAGCATCATGGCAGAATTATTATTATCATCCAGACAGGAACCCAAATATTTAGCCCCCATGTTTTCAATTACTTTCCCTGATGGACGTCACCTTTTACAACTGACTAAACTACTTATGCAAGTCACATTCAAGAAGTTTTCCTCTGATCAGATTTGTCAAC